CCCCAAAAACCTGTGTGTGGTCTTAACTAAAACTTAAAAGAAAGTTCCTTTATTTTTCACCTCAGGTTTCTCAAAATTTTCCAAGTGGGTGGTTGGTGGGTGCTCTGGTGTGGTTTGCTTCTTCCTTCCTATCAAACATCTATTGTCCTTATCTCCCCTTCTTATTTTTTTTGTTTGTTACTCTTTCGTAACACCTCTAATCTTCTGGCGCTCATATGACCTTATGCAGTTGCGAGTGCCGTAAAACCTCTACTAAAACTAAAACTAACCTAAAAAAAATTTTTCCAACTACTGGAATCAACTTTTTCTGAAACAAAGACACACTAAATTGTTCAGATATTTTATAAGGGATTTTAGGGAGTGCTTATTTAGGCCACATATGGCCTAAATAAGGTAAGGGAGGGGGGTTTAGCTTATTTAGGCCACAGGTGTGGCCTAAATAAGGTAAGGGAGGGGGGTTTAGCTTATTTAGGCCACAGGTGTGGCCTAAATAAGGTAAGGGAGGGGGGTTTAGCTTATTTAGGCCACCTTTGACTCACTCTGTGTGTGTGTGTGTGTGTGTGTGTGTGTGTGATTGTGTGTGTGATTGTGTGTGCGCTCGCGCCCACGCACGTGTGTACGAATTCAAACTCAGCTGAACTTTACGCAAATTCAAATGGGAAATTTCTGCTGGATTATAGGCCGCTAGGCAATATGTGTCAAGTTCCCTGTAGACATAGGTTTTTCAAGCTGATGCCCGTCAATGCTTGGGCCACCTCAGACTTGAGCTTTGGTCCTCACAAAATTGATAAAAGCCTCACAGAAACATACTAGGCTTGAGGTCATTAAGCTGATATCTGGGGATGCCAGATATTTTATAAGGTGAGCCAAGGTGCCATGGGTTTAAATTATTATCAAGCAGCCAATGAGTGGAAACCGTGCGCTGTGTGTACCTCTGGCAGCCAGTTCGCTGGCAGCACAGTGGGGCAAACACATTAGTTTAAAGAGGACAGTACAACTGAGAAAGATGGATGGCCGTTTTATAAAGGTGTAAATACTATGTTTATGTATAAATAGGCGTTGCTTTTCGTACGTTGGCATAACTGGGTTTGACAGTGGTCAACTGCACAAAATCAAGGGTAAAATTGAAACAAATTAAAAAGTGAGATGACATTTGCAATCATTCAGTCACGTACCAAAGGAGCACTTCCTTTCTGTCGCCAGGTAATAGTGTTTAAAAACTCGTCAAGACTGTCAAAGTACAGCCATCTCGGTCTGTACACATTGGTGGGATCCTTTTCTTGACTGTCTAACACTTTACGGAGCTCTCTTACATAAGTTGTCCTCAAAGAGTTGATCTTTCTCTTCAAAACCGTTACATTGTCCTCTGAAAATAAACCAAAAAATTTCAATCACATAGAAAAACAAATCAAACCATCAAGAGATTCAATTAAAAGGCCTGGCTTCAGAACTTCATTCACAGGATGACCTTATCACAGGTTGTGCAAGTTTACTCCATCCTCACCACTGCTGCACCAAATATACAGTAGAACAGGACAACAGCGGCACCTGCTGCAGCAGGACCATCCCTACAGCGGGACCTTACCGGAATCCCCCCCCACCCCCCTTTTTTTTTCACTATGTAAACTCAATTAAATTACCAGTGTCTAGGTTTAACAGGGTAAGGAAAGGCCCGAACTTGGATACAGCGGGAGAGATCGAGCGAGCTTTAGTTGTGGGGAAGGGAGCTGTAGGCAGGGTCCAAACAGGCAATAAGCGGTGCAGCATTCGAGATATTAGTGATTAAAGGAGGTCAGGGTAAAATTAGTGAGAAAATGGCCACCAAATTTTAGTAACTTCCATAGCCTGAGAGTCCTTGGAAACTGAAAATTCATATTTTTTGTGCCTTTAATCAATGTGTTTTTAAATGAAAATTTCAAAACAATTGCCCATATGCCCCCCAAAAATGCAGATTGTGTACATCAATTAGGTGTTTGAGTACTGATGTCTGTGTACATCAAGGTGTTTGAGTACTGATGTCTGTGTATATCAAGGTGTTTGAGTACTGATGTCTGTGTACATCAAGGTGTTCGAGTACTGATGTCTGTGTACAAAAAATAAAAAGCACTGTTCCAAATTACACTGAGTATGCCCACCAGAGATACCTAAAACGCAATTCGGCTTTGTTCATGACAAGGGCACCAGAAATGCTATATTCACCTTAACTATGTTAATGGAAAGATGTACTGAAGCACAGAAAGATCTGTACTTATGCTTCATAGATTATTCAAAGGCATTTGATAAAGTTAAAGTTAGACATGATGAGCTATTTAAAATACTGGAAAAGCTAGACATAGATGGAAAAGATCTAAGAATTATCAGCAGAAATTTGTATTGGGACCAAAATGCTGCTGTACAAATTAATGGAGAATACAGTGAAATATAAGCAGATCAGGCGAGGAGTGAGGCAAGGATGTGTTATGTCACCAGACCTCTTTAACATCATGCACAGTGAGTGAAACAATCCTTAGAAACATAGAAGAATGTCCAGGCCTCAAAGTAAATGGAAAAAATATTAATAACATCGGGTATGCAGATGACACAGTTTTAATAGCAGGCTCCGAAAAGGACCTTCAATTACTTCTTGATTCTTTTGTAACAGAAAGTGAACGTAGTAAATGATTGTGGTTGAATGTAAAGAAAACAGAATGCCTGGTAATATCCAAAAAAAGCAGCAAACTCTAGTTGTAATCTCATTAGCAAAGGTGAAAAGATCAAACAAGTCCGACAGTTTAAATATCTAGGACATATGATAACATCTGACCCCCAATATGTTCCACAGAAATAAAAAGGAGAACTACAATGGTTAAGGCTAGTTTCAATAAAATGAGCCCAATCCTGAAAAATAGAAACATCTCAATGAACACCAAAATGAAAGTCCTGAAATGCTATGTTTGGTCAACCCTTCTATATGGCTGTGAATGCTGGACAATCACTAAAGACAGTGAAAATAAAATAGAAGCAACAGATATGTGGTTTCTTAGGAGACTGCTTAGAGTACCGCGGAAGGAAAAGAATTCAAATGAGGTAGTGCTTGATGAAGCCCATGTGGGACGCTCAATGTTTTAAAAAATCAGGAAACGACAAATGCAGTTTTTGGGACACCTGAATAGACATAGATAGGGTCTTGAACATCTAGCTCTCACTGGCAAAATTGAGGGCAAGCGAGGCAGGGGTAGACCCAGAACAACATACTTAGGGAACCTAAACAAATGGGTCACAGGGAAAGATCAGGGAAACGTAGCTTTTTTTAGAGCATCTGAGCAAAGGAATAAATGGAAAACCATGATCGCCGATGTCTGTCGCAGATCTGGCACTGGATGATGATGATGATGCCCAGTAGCTCTCTTCCACTCTAAGGCAGGGGCGGCTAGATGTAGTAGCCATCGTTTCTACCTGATAATATTGTAGTTCTGCCTGAATTGTGGAAGCTTTCTCAGTTTTTTTATAAACCTCCTAGGATTTTACTCCTTTTTTTATGACGTTGTTCTGATCAATATTGGGTAGATCTAGATCTAAATCTAGAAAAATCTAGATCTAGATTAGATCTAACAATTGTTTCTGACATTGTTTGCACAAAAGTAGACACGTCTTGTTCATCTCTCATAATCATAATCATCTGAGTTAGAGTTTGAGCAAGTTTAAGTCGAAAGACGCTTGGATAACAAGACGGTGCAACTCGAACTTTAAGTTAGGCCTAGAGAACGTATACAAGCTGTCTACTGTCTACGTTCTCTAAGTCTAATGTTCAGTGCTTCCAAGCGTGGCATCGAATCCCGGTCCCGAAAGGGTTTTTTTTTTTTTTCTTCTCCTGAGCCTAAAATTTTTTATTAAAAAAAATTAGACTCACAGACCAAGGAAATTAAGCCACTACTGAACTTTTAACCAGGCCTAAACTGGTAAAAGCAAAAGTATGGGCAATAACGGCAATAGGCCTACTAAGGCCTACTTTGTCTCCTCTTGGGGACAAAACCAGAATATGTGCATGCTTCATCACTACATAAAAAAAAACTACAAAGCAAAAAGATATAATTATGGGAACAATTTGTTGGTCAGTCGAGCTAGAGGACAACAACAACAAAACAACAAAAAAACCCAAAAAAACCGTCCAGGACCGGGATCGAACCCACGCTAAAAAAATAATGGTTTGACTTCAAGCGCAGACGCACTGTCACTTCTGCCATCAGAACTTCCGATAACGATATGAGCAGATTAAGCTTGATATTTTACACATGGCGACACGGCGTTTTATTTAGCACTTGCCCTAATCGCAACGCGGCGTTTTATTTAGCACTGGCGCTAATCACAACGCGGCATTGCAAATAGGCACTTCCTAAAAAATAAGGCCGGCACTATTTCTCCGAACGTTCGGGAAAATAAAGCTGGGCACAATTTCTCCCAACACTATGAAATCACATCCTTTCCTGCAAATTTTGGATATATAGATCTTTGTCTTTAATTATTATTATAGGCCCACCAAAGATTGTTCGTATACAATAAGGTTCAATCGGTCCAAAAATGTCCGCAGTAAATATTTATGTAAAGAAATGCTACAGTTCCAAACACTTTTTCGCTACAGATGACGTGTTGCCTATGAAGGGTGCTTCTCTTAAACTTAATGTGTTGTGTTCACTCGTTTTGTCTAGATCTAGATCTAGATCTATGGAGGGTCACTGATAACGACACACAGAACTATAAGCACCTCAGCTTTTGTCAAGGCTGCGACCAATCAATAGTGGCTCGATTTTTTTGGCATTTTTTGGTCCCCGAATCGGGTAATAAAAGTCACCAAAAAAAAAAAAAAAAAAGAAACTGAACCTTTTTACTTTTTTTGAAAGAAAGTTTACTTAGCTTCACCTCGTCTCTTTCTCATTTGTTGTCACCACGTTGATTTGTAGAATACGTTACAGTACGATTTGTATTGCTGTTCCTCTTTTATTTTTCCCTCTTTAAATTGTGTTGTTTTATTTTGTTGGTGAGAGTAATTTTTTTTTCTTGTTATTGTTCTGATGTGTTGTTTTTCTAATGTTTTTTTTTTGTTGGGGAAAAGGGGGAGGGGGGTGTTGTATAGTGTAACGTCATTTAATTTGATGTTCCTACCTTCATTAGATTCTAAATATATATCTATAGATTTAAATAAGTTATGTTTGAGCGTTCCACCAAAACCGATTACATGTACAGACACTGGCTGGCCCCTTGTGTAACAATGACCACGTAAAACCTTTTTTTGTCAGAAAGTGAAAGCGTTGGCAAATAGGTGCATTTTGTAGCTGTATATTCACAGAGCATGGAACTTTTTGAATTTTTGCAATCCATCAATAAACAAAAAAGTTACGAATTTTTTAATCAATTAATTTTTGGTACACTTTTATATATTAAAAACCCCCAAAAGTATGGGAAGTTCTTTGGTGAGTTTTGAGACAATATTCGTCATAACTCGCTCATTTCTCTGAGCATTTAAAAGAAACTTGGCAACCCAGTACATTTTCTAGTGAATCTAGTCCTGCTTTCAGATTTTTCATAGCAATCCTGCTTTTTGAGTTATGAAGACGTTTTTATCTATATAGGTATAAATGTGGCGGTTTTCGGTGCGTTTTGAGACAATATTTGTCATAGCTCGCCTATTTCTTTGAAAATGTAAATGAAACTTGGCAGTATAGTACTTTTTTAATGCAGAATCTAGTCATGCTGTCAGATTTTTAATCTGTCATACTTTTTGAGTAGAAAAGACATTAAACAGGTAAAAAAGTGGCGTTCTTTACAGATTTACAAAGATTATACAGTCATAATATGTTCTCCCAAAGTTATGATATATTTGAATGAAATTTGTCAACATAAAAGGTTCCTCCTTGCCAAGCAATGCTCTGGATCAATTTGTCACAAAAATGTAAGTAGAGAGCTGGATTTATTAGTCTAATAAATCCAGTTCTCTCACTACTAGTAAAAGCATGCACACTTTGTAATAGAAAATAAGATCGTCTCTGTGTATCCATTGTTGGACAGTCCTATTGTGTGGTAGATTAAGATGCGTTCAGATAATATACAAGTCATGGGAATATTTCGCATGTGTAGGCTACAAATACTACAATTCATACAATATATGTAACATATATTTACACCACCCCCCCCTTCTCTCTCTCTCTCTCTCTCTCACTCACTCTCTCTCTCTCTCTCACACACACACACACATGCACGCGCGCGCACTCACGCGTGAACGATAACAATGTATAAACGGGACTATCTTCCCAGACTGGACTAAATAAGTACCGGTATTTTTTTACTTTCCCTCCCGTCTCACACTCAGCTACCAGTTATCTATTTTCTACTAAATATTGATGTGCTGAACACGAATATCAACTTCATTTCCGTCGCAAATTAACAGTTTTTGAAATATTTGATTGTTTTTAACCGAGATAGACATGCTTTGGACCAATCGGGGGGGGGGGGGGGGGGGTCCAGGGGTCCTGCCCCACTGGGGTAAAAGAAAATCTGGGGGGTTACAGGGGGCATGCCTCCCTGTTTTTACCTATAATTTGATATTTTACAATTAGATTCGAAACTGTCTTGAAAATAATTGATTTGCGACAGTTTTAGTGGCTTTATGTGTGATCTGCAGCAAACAGTACAGCAGTTTGACCCCTGAAACAGTGCATCTGTGTGCAGGAGTGAAAGTAAAAATTTACCTCCTAAGTAGAATCTACCATACACTCTAATTACAATCTTAATGCCTCACTTTTCCAAACAGAGCACACAGGACGAGTCCAAGTGTGTGCTTTCCCAAGAGGGGGGAATAGGCTTTCTACAGTCTACGCAAACACAATGCCATACCACTTCTCAAGATGTTTGCTTAAATGTAAATGTTTCTATTCTAGAATCTAGATTTAGATTCTAGATCTAGATTCTATACATTACAGAGGCCTACCTAATAATAATAAACGTGGGGGGGGGGGGGGGGGGACTAGCGGTAGGCCTACCGCACAGATTTTAACGGCGGTAGCTATAGAGTAGATCTTGCAGGTGTGCAGCTTGAACTGAAGGAAGATCTAACTCGGACGAAAACGTCTCCGATTTTGTGGAATCAAAGAATCGTGAGAATCTGCTCAGGTCTGGTCTGCTGTGATTGATCGTTCAAACTCCATCCGCTAATCAATTAACTCACCTGTAACCGGATACCCAGCGTCTTTTAGAATTTCTTCAAGGGCTTTCTGCCTCAAATGTTTGTTCGCATGTTCAGGACTTGTTGAATCCCACAAACATGGTTGGTTTCTATACAGGTCAACGAGGAGACTTAGATGAATGGTCTCTGTCTCCATTGTTGTTCTATTTCTATTCTATTTATTCCATCCGGCCCGACCCGACGCCGACGAAAGAAAGCCCCGACGAAAAGTAGAAGCAAGGGATTGCCAACTTGCCATTTTGGCAAAATCGGAAGCAGAATTCTTGGGTCGGCCAAGATATGAACCGAATGTCGAACAAGATCCAGGCCTAGATACCGATAGATTTTAAGGTACCTACACACTTATTGTATAAATTTACATAGTATTATCGAAACGAACGATAGGATTGACACTCGACTTCATTTAGAAAGAGTTAATTAAAACATTTGTAATGTCACCAAATAAATCAAGCCTTGAGAATACTTCTTCAAGATATAAACAAACATATAAAGGTAGCCTATAGTATCTCATGTTCACTGCAGCCATTATAAGTAAGGCAAAGATATAGCCCACAAAACTATCTTTAGACCCCCACGGTAATTTCGAGAAAGATACCATGCAAAAGACTTTGTTTTAGCCTTTGAATGTCACACTCACACTAACGTTTGAAAGCAAAAGATTGTCGAATACAGTGTGGTAACTCAGCCTTTTGCTATTATATAGAGAGATAAAAATCTGGCTAAAGTTTGATGACGGCCTCGCGTCGCGTCTCCTTGTCTTCCGACATTTATTCTATAACAGAGTCGAATCACGCATCCGATTAGTAAAAATCTGTAGTGATCGGATAAACAAAGTTTATGTAAACTAAAAAGCCTCTAGGCTACGCCTAGACTAGAGATTGCTCACTTTCGTCTGACCGCGGTTAGGACAAGATAAAATCATAAAATGAAATCCCGGTTTATTCTTCTCAGATCTTCGCAAACGGGACTATGATGACTAACAAAATCTATCTTAGCCTATTCATAAAAGGTTACTGAAAACTAAAGGTCCGATACATTTTCTTTGAGTTAGTGTTAGCCTAAATTACGTGAGGGAAAAAAAAGAAGGAGATCTAAAAGCAAAGAAAGAAAGGCAGAGAAGAACAAGGAAGCTTCTCTAATTACCATAAATCTAGTATAATTAAAGCTGCTTAATTTGGAATAAACATCAAATGTGTAGATCTCTGTTTCGAATAATAGATCTAGTAAAATGTATTATAACTCTAATACCGGGTATTCAGGTCTTGTAATTAAATTCCTGCGTGGTTGAATGGTGATCTGATGTGATCTGCACATTATTCTCAGCTTTACTTTTCTTTTCCTATCGAATTTCAATTAGAGAAATATAGGGGCCTTATAGATCTAATTTAATTTTTATTTAAATACGTGCATGTGATTTTACGCGTATATAACGGCCCTGTACACAGCCTAGAGAAATTCCCCCTGGGACAATAAAGTATTAGAGATAGCTGTCTTATCTTATCACAGCATACACCTAAAACATTTTTAAAAACTGACATATTTTCCTCGACACCACACGTACCTTTAGTTGTCTCCTTAGTAGCAGTAGAAAGGCTGCATAACCAATTAAGAGCCAGGAGCCCTGAGGAGGGGGGGGGGGGCAGAAAGTGGAGACGAAATCAGACGATGGAGCATATTATGGTTTGAGAGCAAGAAAGGAGGTGGAAAGGAGAACATTTTAGAGAAGAAAATTTACCGTCGCTGTCCGGATTCGAACCCAGGACCTATTGAATGAGAGGCAAGCACCATAACCTGTCGACCACGAGAGTCCCCTGGCACTAGTTTGCTCGGCCGACGGTATTTTGTTTCCAAACTGTGATCGTAAGATTTTAATTACATGTATTTGTATATGCATCCCCGCCAACACAGTTTAGACCGTTCAGGCGGCTGGTTAATCCGATCATAACAGTCAGGGCGAACCAGGACTGAGAGGGAGTAGATCATTAGGGCCTGACTGGCAGCGTCCCTGAAAATTTTGGGGGTGCGACACAAAGCACACAATAACTCAGGCAACACAGACTGCAGTCCAAAGCCATATTTGAATTTAAACTGAGCTCATAAAAAAGACAAAAAATACAGTCGGCAAAGGATGAGTTTTTGTCGTTGTGAGGGTGAAAAAAAAAAAATCAACTTATCCAGAAGTTCAACTTTTAACCGTAATTGGGATCAGAAAAGAAGAAGAGGTGCTGGGACCCGAGAAAAAGATCAGCTTAACTGAAGATCTACTCAAGCGAGTTCAGCACAAATGGAGTCGACTATACATAATACTTGAAACTCGGTTTCAGCGGACTCGGATTCAACGAAAACTTCGGTTCAACGAAAGGAGTAGGATTCCACGGATTTTTATTCATAAAAATCAATTGAAAAAATGACTCGGATTCAAAGAACACATAAATGAGCTTACTCGGATTCCACGAAGTTACTTGCAGGGTGTTCTGCTTTATGCGAAAAATCAGCGGCCTCCTTTCATACCAACACAAGCGATGTTAGCACGCACCCATGTCTTATATAGCGTGAGTTGGGGTCGGACGGGCGGCCAGCACACGTGTGACTGTGTGTTCGTATGTCGCGGGGAGGGGGAGGGGGGGGGGGGAGTGCGTGAGGGTACAATTGGTCCGGGAGTGGAACGTCAGTAGAGATACAAACGAGACACACCAGCCACTGATCAATATTACAATGATAAGCTTATCTTGACATAGATCTGTGTAATAAATTGCGCGCTGGACTGTGAAATCAAACGTTGTCGTATGCTGGGGTCTACACAGCAACATAACTGTACTTGTTCGGCAAACAATATGTTATCTTCATGATAGATGACACAGACGTGCATTTGAACGGTATTAGCACTTTTGCACAGTGTGTGCTTAGGATAGTTCACTGTACAGTGGGTGTCGCATTCAAAGAGGTTCCCGGGACCGGCTTGTTGTCCTCGTTGGAACCGACCTCTCGTTGAACGTGACTAAGGCTAAAGTAAAGAAAGGAGATAAGTTATTACAGTGGAGTCCACTTATAACGAATCCTGAAATAACGAGAAGTCTGTTATAAAGACATTATTCTAAAACCCCGTTTTTTCCCCTTCTTTATCTTTGTAAATAAAATACTGCTATTGCGCAATCAGACAGTCACACGAGTCTGTTATAAGGGAATATTGCTACTGCTGTGAACAGCACACAGACCAATTAAACAAAACCTCGCCAGTTGAGAAAGTTTGACCAGCGAAACAGAGAATGGGAGAGCCCACGCGAACCAACAATGAAGGCCGGAGCGAATGAGTGGGGAGGGTGTGGCATGCGTAGACAAGCAGAACGCATCGCGTGATAGGCCAGCCCAGTCTAGATTATCTAGACATACCGTGCCTCTCACTTCTCTGGCGCGGGATGGAGAGGTCACATTGCTATGATATATGGAGTGAATGTGTGACGTGCGCAAGCAGACGCAACGCACCACAGGGTGTGGTGGGGTGGGGGACAACACAGCGGGCGAGTTAGCCTAGAGCCAGAGCCCCTTCTTTCTGATCGCCAACGCCGAGCTGTCAACATTGCAAGTGCTGGAAAAAGAAACCTGATTCGATTTTTGATCAAGTAAGACATAGAGATCATGTTGAACAAAATCATCATCATCAGGGGAAATACAATAAGGAATAAACAGAACACCAAACTCATAGATTAGGCCTACTTTACTATTTCCCTTGAATTTATTACTGGATCCCTAATAACGAGAATCCTGCTATAACGGACATTTTACACCGGTCCCCTCCCTCTCGTTATAATAGGATTCCACTATTATAGGATGTGCCAATACCCGTAAATAAAACATTTGTTCCCCCTGATGACGAAAAGTCAAAACAGCACCAGTGCGCGCGTGTTTGAGCTGTGCTCTGACCGTCATTTCTACATTTTAAAATATTCTGCTTTCCTGAACACTTCTCGTGTGGAAACATACCCTCTCACATCTAGGCTTAGATTTACAAAAAGTAAAGGCGGGAGCTTGGATTGTCTGATCAGGGGAGGAAAAGAAAATTGCAAAAAAAAAATTAAGGTCTCAATCTAGACCTACCTATCCAGACTTCATCCAGTTTCACACAGCCCGCATCGCATTCCCACCCACCCCCTCTCATCCCTACCGTAGGCTAATCCTCGCCCATATCCTCTTGGCTTTGGGGGCACATATTAGGAGGCACACTAGATGAAGATGTAGCAATACATGTGTTAGGAATCGGTGAGACGGAGACAAAGGAAAAAAATTCTTCGCTTTTGGGGCTGCTAATTGCTTTTATTTGGTTATTGCGACCTCGTTGAAAGCGACTTCGGTTTGCTTGCAACCTCGTTGGAGCCGACGTACATTTACAAAGAGATATTATATAAAGAGGTAAAAATTAAGGATTGCCTCGTTGGAGCCGACTTCTCGTTGAATGCCGCATCCACTGTATTTCCCTTGAATTTTCTTGCATTACTTCGGTATTTATTAAAATTTTTTTAAAAACACGAAAATTCTTTTCACTTGAAACCAAACTATTTTTGGTTGGTAAAGTCGAGTACATTACATTTACATTACTTGCTTGATGCTCGTTATTAACAACACCAAAACCTTAGATATGCTATAATTACGAACACTTGGATTCAATTAAATTGAAGGCCAGGCCCGACGACTTCGTTGAATCCGAGTTCCACTGTATGAGTTTTTTTTATAAATTTGAGTAGAAAATGACCAAGTACGGCTTTGTGTCAAACGATCTCTTCAACTGCCATTGCCATCAGCTCGAATGGGGTGTAGAGGAGTGATTGAAAATGTAATTGTAGATATTCAGGAGGCGGGCTGCTTCTTCTACCCTCTGACGGTGCCAACCATGGTTAAGAGGTATATAATATCCCTGCAGACAGACGGAGATACTCCCCATACGGGAATTAAACGTCTTTTGCATGATGTACAATGTGGCCTGACGGCTACACCACAGGCGCATGAGTATTAGGAGATTCAGATTCAAGCAAATAAGTCAGCTTGAAACTGAAATTTCTCACCCTTCTTACTAATGGAGCGCTCCGTTAGCTCAGCTGGCATCAAGCTGGACTTCAGTGTGGATGGCCCTGGTTCGAATCCCCAAACCGGGTGTTCTGAAATTGGGTGGTTTAGTGGTTTAGTTAAGTTTTTAAGGCCCCACACCCATTTGGCATGGTCCTACCGGAGATGAACGTTAAATTCGAAGCTCTTCT